AAAATAAAGATTTTCGCCGAAAAACTTTCTTGGGCCAGATGCGTCCCGCATTCTGCTTCCATTAAAAATCGCAGAACTGCTCAAATCAGAACTTGCTCGTTACAATTAGTTGCGGAAGTGGAAGGGATGCCCAACTAATGTGAAAGCTAACCTATTCATTGCCCAAAAGTGGTCCCCTATCAACCAGTAGACTCTGAAAGGAGATGGATGAAAAAGCGCCCGTGGTGATTTGATCCCCTGACGGTGCGTGCGATAGCGGCGCCACTAGTCATTGCACTCCCTTTTTCTGGATTGATTGATTGATAGCAGCTTCTCCTCCCGGCATTGTTAATCAGCCCATACACTTTTCGTAGTGCTTACGAGATCAATTCCACTACCTACCAGTTGGAATACATCCAATTTTTCATTTTTTTCAGTAAGGGCTATCTAAGTTGTATCCTTACCGCTGGCTGAAATAATTTTGTGTACGGTTCCTTTTTTGGAGCGTAGCATAATCCTAAAGTGGTCCTGCGACGAAATCACTTCCGTCCTGACAGACAGTACTAATGGTCCAACTACTGGATCCATGGTGAAGAAATCGTGGTGTTCCTAAAAGGGAGCGGTTGTCAACAATGACCGCGGGAGGCCTTTACAATGACTCACTCTGCCATAGAAATATCGTCGATAGCAGTGGCTGGTCTCATCTGTTTCCAGCTTGAATCTGGCACAACTATTTGTACTAGCACCCATTATCTGAAGCATAGAAATCAGGGAAATTACTTGGAAAGGTAGGTACCAGTACTGGTATGAGTTACGCAAACCTCTTGGTCAAGGTACATGTTATTCTGGCTGACCCCATCCATCCAGAATCCACTTGATGGCAGAACAATTTGTGGGTAAGGACCTGGCCTTTGTAGCATCTGAAATTGTCCCTTTTGAAACTTATGCCCTCGAAGAGTGGGTTATAAGCCCTAGGGCCAAACCAACCTCTTTCATGATGTCCCTGGTCTGCATATTGTCGCGTTTTCGTTCTCCATTAGCGCTCTGAATATGAAATTTCAGTATGAGGGCTAGAAATAATGTCTTTCAAGGGAAAATTTTTCTTTTTCTCCCCAAAAAATTATTTGGCCTTGTCGATTTCACTGTGCGCATCTTCACATGAATGTTTGCGATGCTCAAACCACTTGAAAAATTTTTTTCCTACTATTTACTTTAGGTAAACTCGATAGGTGGGTAGGTAGGTAGAGGGGTACTCGACACAATGATCATCGATCTTACCGGGATATCTTGTAATGAAACGGCTGAACAAGTCGATGATATGAGAATCGGCGGCGATACACAAAGCGATCTTTCTGTTCTTTTTCCCAGAACATAGCTTAAAAGATCGAATGGCGATTTGGAATTGGCTGTAGTACGTCGAGGTGACGACGACAATGACGATGATGATGGTGGTAATGATTCCGTAGAACCTTTGAATGGCCGGCTTACTTCAGCTCGTCGAAAATTCTCAATAGCATCGATCAGCTTACTGGCAGCCATCACTTTGAATTCATTTTCTGAACTGATGGCAAATGATGATGAATGACGTTTTGACATAGGATTACTGACATGGGCCGCCGCTTGGGCGACACAATCCATTGAGACAGCTCGACTGGGTGTCGACTGATGGTGATGACAGTCAGGCTCACGAAATGGCTCCTTAATGGGAGCCAACGAAGGAGCATGACGGGTACGACGTCGGATTGCCATTTTTGATGAGGATGAAGGATAGTGGTGCTTCTCCTGGGTATTCATCAGCACACGCATATCACCTTCAGCTTCATCTTCACTGCTGTCGATGAATCTCATCCGACGACGTTGTAGACCGTTGAAGGATCCTGCAGTAGTCCATTCTATAGCATTCAACAGAGGAGGATACGGTAACGACATCAGAGTTACTGCGACTGAGAAATATGAGATTCAGAAGAGAGGAGAAATCAATGAATGAAGACCGTTTACGGATGGATGGACGCCCGTTGGGTGTGTGTGTCTGTGTGTGGACAATCATGTACAGAACTAACGCGACGGAAAGGTGTACAAATATGGCTAGAGGATCGTGAAATAGCGGGCCATTTCGAGAGAGTTTGGAGAGTGGCTGAATAGAGGAGAAGGACACGTTCGTTGAGATGAGAGGATGGGCAATGGAATAACAGCTGAACACATAAAATCCAGCGAGAAATCTGCGGAATCGAAAGTGACTCCCAAAAGTCGAACTGAATTGCAAATTTGCAGAAGATTTTCAGATAATATGGTTGCGGTAGGAGTAGAGAAAAACTAAATGTGAAGGTCGGTCTGACAATGAGATCTGGAGTCTGCCCGAAAAAAAAGAAAATTTTTGGCCATCAAAATGACGCCATTCAGCCTCGTTTCTGAGTTGCGCCACGAACAAAGTCCCTATCAGGGGATACAGTGGCTTTCAAAGGATTGCTCACTTCGCGAAGTTGGGGAGCAAAGTTACGTTGGGAGTTTCCTAGGTAAAAAGAAGAGTTGCATACTTGAAGGTGTCTCCACTAACAGTGGACTGTTTTGGATGAATGAAAACCCAAAAGACTCGAGTAAGATCTAGCTGGAATTCGATCAGCGGCTCGTGTTCGAGGTAGTGCCGCCTCCTGTCGCTGCGCCACCTTTCGCTAATTAAGATGATCACACGTAGAAAAAAAGTGTCAAATTTCAACTACTAGGATGTAGAAATGACGAAATTATTTATTTACCAGGAACGAATCTTCCACGTAAGTAAAAAGGATCAAGGGTAGAGCTTCGAGGGTAAGATCTGATAGGAGATACGTAGGATACAGGAGGAAAAGAAGTGGGTCAAGTCAGAGAGAGTAGTTGTAACTTTCTTAGAAAACGGCAATGTAATTCAAACCGGAGCTTACAAAGCAAAGAAGAAAAACCGGTTGTTGCAAAGGAAAACATCAGTTATCAATAGAGACGAGAATCGAACGTGAAACACAATTTGATTGACAGAAATGGGATGGCATTCCATTATGTGGCAGTGGTGGTGGTGGTGTTGGCGTCCCGAGAGTGTTTCAAACTCCCCACACTTCTGCCCCAGCAGCTGCTCCCATGCCCTTTCCAAATAATCACGAACGTGCCACTGTGCACCCGGAATGGAAATGGCAACACTGCAGGCGAGCACTGAGGACGTAGCCATGGCCCGAGGGCACTGATGAAACGATCTTCCCAGAAAGACTTTCTTTCCCAACCTCCTAGCAACTCCTATCATCTCCTGTCACAGCGTGGGGAAATCAATTAAACATGACATATCTGTGGGGTCGCATGAATCTATAATGAGATTGGATCGCATTTCTAGGGATTCCTACAAGTGTATGAGGGCTCTCAAGGAGCTTACGTATGGGAAACCACTATTGACTACAAGACTACTTTCCAAGTAGGGCAATTCCGATAAATATCCCTGTTCTACGAAGTTCTTGAAAAGCTATTTTAAGTCCTGTTGGTTGGATGTAAGAAGAACAGAACCAAGGTCTCCCTGCGAAATTTCCTATTCTCGGGAGATACATCTAGGAACTGGTAGTCTTGAGTAGAATTATCACCCCATCCATTAAAATTCCCTCTTGAAGCTCGGGAGCATACCGCCTAACAAGTGGAGAACTCAACGAATACCTAGAACTTCCTGAGTTCCTTGTGACCCAAATAAAAATGATCGCCGGATTTTATCTTTTTTTGCCATTTATAAGACCCTCTCGAGGCTCTTGAGCTGACTGTACGACAAATTGGAAACCCAAAAAAAACCTAGGGATCCTTTAGCTCCTCATGACCCAGATAAAAGTAATTATGGGATATTCAAAATTGCTCGAATCTGTCAGCAGATTAAGTGTCCCCACAATGGCTAAAGGACTTCTAAGATCTATTGTGGGAGTTTTTTGGTTCCAAGCGGAAGAAGAACGGTCATTTGGGCCGTAATCTCTCTTCCGTCTTGAGCCATCAAAAATCTAGCAATTACAAGACGAGGCTAATGGACCTTTCAAGAAGTAATTTTCGTTGGATGACGAACGATTTCACGAAAAAATCCATCACATCCTTATAATCCGAAAATTATGGTTGGATCAATGTCAATCAATGCTAATCAATCGATCAATCAATTCGATGATGTCAATTGCGACGAAAATGGAATCTATGATGCCTGAGGATATTACAAAGTAGCGCATCTTACGACGGGGCCGGAGGATTAACGCCAGGGAGAAGAAGAAGAAGGTCACAACGTGATTACTGAAAGTTCAGTAAGAATCAGAGAGGTCCTCAGGTCCTTCCTGAGAAGTACTTATGAAAAGAGGAAAGGGCCGGAAAAGATGGCAAGTTAGGAAGGAGGGGAGAAAGAGAGTGAAAGAGGGAAATCCTCTCTTCACATCTGAAAAATGGCACTAACAAGGCCTTCTTAGGTACTCGTTGGCCCAGGATAATCCTCTGACTGTAATGTAAATGAGGGATTTCAATTTAGACTCCATAAAGAGAACGAGGCTCAAAACCAGGGGACCTCTAGAACAAATAGGATTTAAACATCAACAGTAAGTAAATGAAGTAATGCAATTAGAATTTCGGAGAGAAATCAGGACGCTGACCTAGAGAGAAGAGGTCTCACGAGTATGAATCGACTGGGAGAAGAGAATTTCGGAGAGAAATCAGGACGCTGACCTAGAGAGAAGAGGTCTCACGAGTATGAATTGACTGGGAGAAGCAACTGGAAGGTTATTTGATACTCTTGACCAGTCAAAGGGGACCGACATCTATTGGCGCTGTAAATACATCGTCGTCCTCATCTATTCCCAGTAATATGACGAGGGCAATATCATCCCCCATTGAGCCGTAATAGTCATTGTTCGGCACACAAATCCCAGATGGTTTCGTGCACACCCTGGTCACCTGGTATTAACTGGGAAACCAGTTAATTATAAGTTATTCCAGAGCGCGAAACCAATAAATGGGCATGGGCGTTGTTTTACGAGAGCCACGGGAGAGTGAAACCCCAAATCTGGGAGAGCGAAGGTACTATGGGCAGTCAAGACGAAAGAAGCAGGACGAGAGGAAGAGAGAATTCACAAGAATGCCATGGGTAGAAGAAGGACGGTTCTTGAAGCTCTAAACCCACCCTGCTCCCTAAGTTTCCGAGGTCCTACAGTAACCTGTCCCTATAGGGCGGATATAACTCAGGAATGGCGTTCTGCAGCTCCCAGCGTCTGTTACTATGGAGAAACCAGTTAATCAGGGAAAATCTTAGTTGAAAAAAAGCCAAAATTCCATTAAGGGCTCAGGAGCAATTCCTGGACGTTAGACAGCTGGCTACGGACTCTACCAGAAGTACTTCCAGCAGGGGGTGGTAGTTAAAATAAGAATCTGGCTCATCCATAACACCCATTAAGGGTCTAACAATAACAGCACTACGCCAAATGGGGGTATACACCCCCACTTGAACGGTAATCGTTATTGTATGTACGTAAGTAGAACAACAGTGTTCAAGGACACTAACGGCTTGAGAATTACCCCGGTTCGGCCATATTTGGCCAGATGGACAGGTGCATAACAACGGAAATGGCACAGTCTCCGACGGGAATAGTGCCAGGAAGTGAGCCTATTGGATGGGCAGTTCATCTACAACGACCCGTCCACTTTCACCTTTGTCGCAATCGGGGAAAAAACGACGGGACGCTTTAACGAATGTGTTGGTTGGAGGAAAAATTTTCCGATACTTTACAACAATTTGTAACGACGACTCGTAACGGAAACGTGCAACTCTGGGAAGGATGGTTGTAATGGCGAGCCGGAACAAATCCCTACTGACGAAATATTTAGTCCATTATCGCAACGGAAGTCTTGATAAATGACGGCAATGACGATGACTAAGTACGAGGGTATTATGTCACCCGAAATGAGACCACTGGGACCTTGTCATTCAATGACCACAGGGGTGGTCCGTCAATAATCGGCCATGACGGCGGCGGTAGTGGACTTAGGTGGCCGCCAATTGGACCCGCGGCTGGCTAGCTGGCCAGCAGCCACTCATTATGGAAACCTCGTCAACAAGCACAACAAGCAAACAATCACGTTGGACAGTTGGTGCCTAAGAGCGGGACCCGCTAAGGATTCCCACGGGAGGCACGGGGATGGGGAAATAATTAGTTGAGGTTTGCTGAACGGAATTTTTCGGTGACGATTCAGATTTTTCACAAAATTTCGGGCTAATCGGAAAAAGTGGCGACCAAATAGCGCTGAAAAAGCTCAGCTGGTGAGCTGGTGAATAAAATTTGTTCAAGCATAGATTTGTAATTCAAATTAGCCTACTGAAACCCCCAAAATCGGTCGTAAAACGGCAGAGAGCGAGAGGAAGAGAGACTGAATAAACTCGGCGAACAATCACACACACACCCACAGCCGTCGACCATTTTTCAATAAGCTCTAACTGCACCAACTCAGAGGATTTGTTGAATAAAGCACAGCCAACCAGCCAAGCATCCAGGGCGTGGGCGAATCGGCCGCCTGGGTGGCGCCTTTTTACAAGTCATGTCAAAATCACCCACTCAACATCTCATGTGGGTTAGCTTGTCTTCCATTTGGCTGGCTTGTTCGATAATTTCATGGTGAGGACAAAAGAGAAAACGAGAAAGCGAACACGCCCAAAAAAAGAACTTTTCAATAGAAATCTGCAGAGAGACGGAAACTTGGGCGATTTGTGAAACACTGGCCTACGGGCTTATTGTTGAACTAGGGGCCGGCGGAGAAAGAGTTAGGTAGGTTAGACTCCGTTCTGACCCTGCTGCGTAGCTCAGTTTCCTCGGGTAAACCTGATTATTGGAAAGGAGCGACAATGGGGAACTGGAGCATAGCCTGGGAATGGTTTTTGTCCGCATATAAATTTGAAATTCAAATAAGCCTTTCAAAAGTTTTCTAGAACAAGCAAGGGAATCGGGCACAGTTAGTCCCACAACCCCATTGGACATCAGAAAACGCGGAAATAGGCATAAACAGGCCCAGAACTTAGACGTTTATCAGGTAAAATGAGTTTCTCGGCTCCCAGAAGGGCAACAGATAGAGGAGGACAGCTGGACGACATTTGTCTGGGGATTTTTGGATGGGCTCATAGATGTAGGTGTTTAACGGAATATAAACTATGAATAAAAATAGCTGCAGGTGTAAGCCTCTGAAAACAACCCTGAGTCCAGGGATTCCAATATTTTTCCAAAGTGTAAAGCTATAAAACCAGAAGTGCATGGGCAAGTAGATAGGAAGTGTAAATAGAAGACCACAAAAGGATGAAAGACGTGTTCGTGTCCTCTTCACTGGATGGGTATTCCCCAATCACTTGACGATGGGGGACGATAGGGGGATGGATGGAGTGAGTGGTGGGGATCCAGTTCGTTAAGCAACGACCAAGTTGGGAGTGTGTGCTGTGTTGTGGAAAGATCGCGTTAATGGCATGAATCGATGACATGGGTGAGTGTTGAGCTCGGATTAGTGCCCGAATGTGATGGTGGGTATAGCATCGGTGCAATTACCAATTCCATAACCGGATTGTAGTCATACGGAGGGGGGTTGTCTCGTGGGTGGCTTGCAGACGTGGTGGACGAGTTGTAACGGCATTGTCAACGATGTCGTGCAAGCACATTACCTAGTGAATGCAGCTTTTCATAAAAAAAACACAGCCTAAATCAGCGTTTTGGAGAGGTTCCCGTACTTGAACGGAAACCTCTCGTCACGCCACATCTCGCCGTCAAGTAAATTACCGAGCGCAGAGCGGATTCGATCGCGCTTTCGACGTTGGTGTCCCAAGAAAACACTTTACGACTCTCAACGAGGATCGCTAAATGCTGTAGCAGACATCATGGCCTTGGCTAATGAGGTAATCCGAGCTTTGTTCAGCGTCAGTCGCGTCAGATGGCTGCCGAATAACGGGAAAAGATCCTAGGAACTAGGTCAAACGGCGCAATTAGGTAACAATTATGCCCGATTC